ATAGTATATATATATATATAATATTATATTATATTATAAATATTGTATTATAGTACTGTGGTAAAGGTTTAAATGTTCGAAATTTTATTCTACAATACATGTATATTTATTTTTGTATTTTTATAAGAGACATATAATATATTCAATAGTACAGTTCGATCTTTTTTTTTTAACAATTTCACAACAAATTCTCGAACATCACATTGAGATATGTTCAATAATACATTTTATAATATTTTTAACAGACAAGATTTATCGTATGTATTGAGAATTTCTAAAAATTACCTTATTGCCAAATTTTATGACAAAAGCCGTCAAATTATTCGTTGGTCCCACAATGACTAAACTCGTTGCTTTAAATCGTTATTAACTCTTCGATAACTAGCGAACTCAGGGTCATTTATTTACAGCACAAGTTTTACTTTTTGAAGTTTTTATTTTTCTACGGATTAAAGAGTTGCAAATTTTATTTTTATTATCGTGTCTAAGTAACAGATAAAAAATGATCCTAAGTTTGCTTGTCAGAGTTACACACACATTGTTTGATACATTTCAATATAAAATAATACAAATGGCTAACTTATCTGGTCGAAAAAAATGCAAACTTGCATAAAATGGTTGAGATTAGTTAACACATTAAACTGTTGTGTTATACTTTTTTCTGTAATACTTGCGTAAATATTTAAACATCTATATATAATTCACAATTATCTATTTTGCGTGTAGACACCCAACGATATAACATGGCGCAACAATTTGAACAATTAGTTAAATTCACTGTTCTTTTTAGGATTCCAGCACTGATCTACACATTTTTGTTTCTTTTTTTTTTTTTTTGTCAAGCTATTCCTTGATTACCTCTAGTACTATTATTGTCTCTGTTGCAGCATAACGTTTACAGCAAGTATTGTAGCGCACATATACATGTCACATGTATTCGCTATAGTGTAATCGTTTCTAACTTACTCGGTTTTAAGAGAAACATAAATACAATAATATTGTTTTTTGTACGATTTTAACAATAGAGTTATATTACAGAATCGCGTAATTAAAATTCTAAAACCTAGAAGTAAGAAGTTGTAACAAGAAAAACATAATACATATATATATATATATATATATATATATATATATATATGTTTTTTTTATAATGAACACATTTATAATCATCAATATTTATATATTAATGTATGTACAACACTTGTTCAATATCTTACATACACTTTCAACATGCACGGCGATTGTATTATAATTTTTCGCGCGAACGTTTGAAAATATATACATAAATATTTCGGCGGGATGTTCATATCAGTGTGTAAAATATGTAAATTACTTTAAAAATAATTTTTGTAGAAAAATAGACGGATCATCTTTATCTCAATTTTAAAACATGAATCAGTTAAACAGTCGCAACTTAATTCGCGCGCGAATGTACGATTTTTCACGTCTGTATTAGTAAATAATCAAGACATACGATTCAAAGTTAAGAATTTCTAATTAAGAATCTATGCACGTAGAATCATACGTCAGAGACATACTTCGCACCTGCAAGATCGCGACTTTCTCGGCGCACGAATGTTTTCTTGGTCGACGCAAGTTACATAATTTTCTTTTGTTTGAGTTTTGCACGCAAGAAGAATGGACTTCGCGCGAGCCATATTTAACAGCGTCTATTTTCTAACAAAAACAAAAGAAAACAACACATCATCACCATCGGCTAAATCGGTGAAGCTTAAGTACTTGGTTTTATTATACGAATGTATCAATTCGCATAATTAGAAGATGTAATTAAGCCGTGTTGTCACCTCAAATATCGCTCTCACATCTCTATCGTAGCCACAACTTGACCAGAAATGTCAGAAATCGCATTTATATATTACTCAACATGTGTTTTTGCAATGACAACAAATGTATGACTTTCACCACACAATAATCTTACTTACAAGGATATTGTCTAAAGTGTTCGCACAGTAACACATTGATTGTGCGCCAGCAAAAGTAGCACAAGGCGACGCGTAATACTGTATTACACCTCATTCCGTTAACACGACTCTCAGCAGCCTGTTGTCGTCGTCTTCTGATTCTCAGCAATTATTTAAAAAACACATTTTTCCAATCAATCCACTTCTCTCACATGTGTAACAACATATTCCTAATCTCTTATTAATTAATCCCACGCGTGCTATTAAAGAACAAAACAAATTGATCTACAAAATAAAAGAATTTCTGTTTTTAAAGTAGCGCTCAACGATTTGAAATTCTCTTCTTAACTTTACTCGTCGATTTTGGTCGTATTTGGTCTTCTGATCTTCTTTCTCTTGAAACCGATGAAAGGGAAAAAAAACTTACGAAGTTAAGATTGGGTGCAAGTGGCGGGGACCAGGGATCTACAACCGCGAGCTATTTGCGCGCGCCATCACTTCGAAACCGAGTGCTCTTCGAGAACCTCGTTGGCTCTCAGCTTGATCTCCTTCCAGGAATATTGTATGTCCTTGCTCTCGCTGAAACGAGAGCAAACGGCGAATCGCAGAAAGTACGTGTCTTTGATCTTAGACGGTACGAGATGAATGTTTCCGGCGCCGTTGATTTTCTTCAAGAGAGCTTCGTTGAGCTCGTTGGAACCCTAAGTGGTGTGTCACGCATCTTAGAATGTTCTTTTTTTTTTTCAAATATCTTTTTCAATCAAATAAAAACCATGTGCAAAACTAGTTTTAAATATTTCAGAAGGGAGAGAGAGAGAGAGAGGAGTGATCGACTTACTTTTAGGCGGAAACAAACGAGTCCCATGAGAACGTCGCCGACGATTTCGAAGCGAGGATCGGTGAGAACTAACGCTTCGAATTCGTGCGCCTGAGCGATGTGTTTTCTAATGAACTTTTGTAGATTCTCCACGCCATAGAGTCTCAGTACGAACCAGAGCTTCAGTGCTCGGAATCTACGTCCGAGTGGAATCTGCCAGTGCTACGATAACAACGCGCAAATTAATTCACAAAGAGTCAACATTCGCCAACATACAAAATTTTTATCGGTCAAGATTTTGAAAGTAATGCGAGCGACTTTTAATTACCCTGTAATCCGGCGCCGACCCCTGCATGTCGTGCTTTAGATACAGAGGATCGACATTGAAAGCGTTGATGACGTAGGTCGGGTCTTTGAGCCACATGGCGGAGCAATCAAAGTTAACCAGCATCCATTTGTGGGGATTAAAATTAAACGAGTCCGCCAGCTCGATGCCTTTCATCAAGTATCGAAATTCCGGACAAATAAAGGAAGATCCTATTAAATGAAATAAGAAATTGTGAATTTTCTCTTCTTTCTTGGAAAAGGAAAAGAAATCAATACTTTTGTATTAGCATAAAAAAAAAAAAAAAAAAAATAATAATAATAATAAATTATACCCGCGTAAGCAGCGTCCACGTGCAACCAAATGTCCTCGCGAGTCGTCACGATGCCCATTTCGTCGAGACGATCAAATGCGCAAGAAACGGTGGTCCCTAAGGTCGCGACTGCCTGAAGAAAAAAAAGTACAACAGATATACAAATTGTTCCGATCGTATTATTTCTGTCATTAAAAAGTAATATATATTTAGTGGATAGTTTATTTTTTTTTTTTTATTTCTCGATCCGATATGAAATGATTTTAAATTGAATAGGAGAACAAGAAGAGAGAAAGGAGAGATTGATTGAGATTAGACTTACGTAAAACGGTATAAATCCGTGCTCTTTATCCTTTCGGATTGCTTCGGCCAACGAATCACCGCACAATCTATATTTGTCATCTACTTCCAATTGTCTGAACTGCACTCCACCAAGAAGTCCGGCGCGCTCGACCGAGCTGTGCGCTTGGCCTGAAAACATAATATTTTGTGACGCTATTATAATCGTAATTAAGAGTTCTAATCTAATAACAATTACTGTTATAAATACGAGTGCTTTACAAAAACGATCATATAATTTCGTTAAGAATATTATTTCTTTGAAAGAGAGAGAGAGAAGTTTTACCAATTACAAAATTTAGAAATCTGTGTAAATATCTTATCGCTAAATCTTATCAATAAAACGTGAAATGTTTTTTTTTCGGATTATGGTGAAAGATTTTTATTGCTTCATTTTTTTCATTGACAGCAACAAGATCGTTCTGGCAATAGACAAATAAAAAATCTTCTTTGTCTCGGCTTAGAACAATAGCGGCTGCATGTATATTGCGAGTGAAGTGCTGTTTCTGATGATGAAAAATAACTCAGTCATTATTCGACGTATCGAGAGATAAATTGTTAGAATATTTTTTTTTTTTTTTTTTGTTCGATAAAACGCGTCGCAAAAATTATTGTAGGAGTTGAGAATGGGAGAGAAGGTTCAGTCTGAAATATAACTGGAGCGGTTATTACGAGTTGCCATGGCGACAAAGTGCTGCTTGATGAAGTGCCGTGAACCCCCATACTCACCCTCTATCACTCCAACCCTCTCGTCTCCTCTCTATTCACGTGCTTGTGCACTGATTGTGCGCCCGGTCACTAAAAGCGACCGGACACTTTTCAGTATTACGTCAATGAGCGAAACGCAACGAATACGAACGAAAAATCAAGTATTCGCAAGTAAGCGACGCGAACACATTAACGCGACAGAATTACGAAACATATAAATGATTGATTAAAAATGTCAATAAATTAACGAACATATTTTTTTACTCTATAAAATATCTATTATATTTACACACACGTATATATATATATATGTTAGACTGATATTTTTAATTGTCTTCAATTCGAACGTGTATGTGACTCGCATGGCTCATTTAACTCTCATCGAGATATATGTCACAGTTCAAATGTCTATTAAATCCGCTGAACTCCACGCAACAGTTGACGCGCACGTCGTTGTTTCTTTGCATGATAACGATACTCAAGAATAATTTTATAATTATAGTAACGTGTGCGATCTCGACTCTTATATCGTCAAAAACGTGCGTGCTGTGTAAATTATTTGACGCGAATAATCGGCTTAAATTTTCTCGAGAGTTTTTACATTTTTATATTAAATGGTATTAAATAAATAAATTATACTCACAGGAACAGTATGCGACTAGTTTGCTGATGATCTCGCTATCCGTCCAATCGGGATGCTGTTCTTTAATTTGCTTTATTTTTCTAGCCTTTGCTCCCAGTAACGCCACTAAAGTGGCCTCGCTCGCAGTTCCCTGTAGATGAAAATTTCATTTTCAATAATTTCATTTTCCCATAACAAATAGCTGTTTTTTTTTTTTTTTTATGGCTGTTATATTACTAAGTTTCGTGTTTATAATAGCCATTAGCTTGTACTGTATTAACTTTTGTAGGTGTTAAAAATGTTTCACCTGAATAACACCACCGCCCTTTCCGCCGTTGCAGGCAAGAAATTCCTTCGGCAAGTCCAACATTTTTCCCAACCAATCCAACATGATCACTTCCAACTCGGTACAAGCCGGACTGGCAATCTGAATAATTTAACAAAATCATGAAATAGATCGAACGTTTAGTAGTTTTATTTAGTTCATTTATTTATTTATTTTTTTTTTTTATCGAACTTGTTTTATATTTACCCACGTAAATCCGATACACGCGATAGCTCCGCTCAACATGTCGGCTAGAATCGCAGGATACGATTGCGCAGTGGGAAAGTACGCGTGGAATTTCGGACTGTGCCAGTGAGTAACCTACACGTGTACGTATATATAAAATTTAAAGTTTTTGTTTATCTTTCACGCTTGCAGAGATAACAATTGAAAATGTGAAACAAAACACAAATTAATATTTTATAACAATATTATTGTCACATTACATGTATTATTGCTTTAGATTGTATTTTGGTGCTGCTGTTTGACAAAAAAACAGCAAACAACTTATTACGAAACAAAATCTGATCAAGAAAATCCTGAGACACAATTTAAAAAAAATTGCTTACACCTGGCATTATCACTCTTTCGATGTCGGTCATAATGTCTTTCCACTGATCGGGAGTTTGCGGTGCCTCGGAAGGTAGAAGTGGATTCATGTATCCCGGTTCTACGGTAGGCAAGACCTTCCTGAAAATTTGCAACACACACATTGACACGTGCAATATTAATTACAGACATACAGGTGCGTAATAATCGCTTCGCCGCTCTTAACGCGATTTCTTCATCGTTCACATACCTATCTCTGATATTTTCTAAATAATTGGTGACGTATTCCGCCATATCCTTGGCGTACTCCTTGAAGCTGTCGGGATCCATAGCTCACTTCTCGCCTGCGGTGCAATCGAAACGAGAGAGCGATTATCAAAACTATCCGTTCGTTACGTTGTCGCGCGTTCATAATGTAAATGCGATAGGCGCGGTTCTGATGCGATATCCTTGGCATATCGACGCGGAACATTCGAAGGAATCTTATCGATATTGCACGTAAAGTATCTGATTTTCTCAATAACAAACGTTTATCTCCGTGAATGTCGAGTAATTGCGTTTCCGCGTATGTTGGAAACAAAAAAAAAAAGCACACAGGAATGATGACATGCAGCTACCAACGCGCGATTTGTCGCATATATTAATAATTTATTGAAAAACGTGAGAAACGATCGAGGTTTTGTCGAACTCAAGGTTGCGCGTTAACAACGATTCGAACTCGGATAAAAAGTGAAAGTGTCAGTTTGTCGCAACAAACAGCAAGTAAGTTTTAATTAAGAAGCGAAAAACTGAATTAGGACGGTGTACGCTATCTGGAAGTTGCGTATGCGATATTGCGCACGTTTTAAAAATCTGTGTCACTAATTTGAACAAGTAAAACGAGGAGAGAGATTAAAGTTATCTTGCTCGCACAATGTTTTATGCATGTCGAATATACGCGGTGAGTTATGAAAATTATTTGACTTAGAATATTTGGTTTAGAATATTTATATTTGAAATATTTATATATCTTCAATTATTTAAGTAGACAAATAATTTAGCAATTTTGATTTAGCGCGTAATTCTAAGCAAGTGACGAAGGTACATCTTACGTCAATTCTACTTTCTATCTTTTTCCCGAACACATAAAAATATTGTATACACGTAAACACATTTGACATTTCGTAAACGAAGTATTTAATAAGCGTGGACGTCGATAAATAGCAATGTGGAGCCATTACTGACGCACGTTTCTTGAGAAACTCAACGGCGACAGGTGAGGAAGAGATGCGTGTGTGCGTCAGATAGAACGTCGCGATCCGCGAGAGAGAGGGAACGGCGGGGGAACATAGAAAGAACGTCTCTTTCGCGCGACGATCAGTAAAATGCGCCTTCGTCGTAAGAGAAGTAAGAGCGAACTCGCCGCGTAAATGACCATGACTCATTTTCTTGGAGCGAGTTTCATTCGAAACTAGTCGACGATCTATCGCGTTGAGATTTCGTCTCTGCTACGGTTTTTTACCCGCTCGCTGTGACGCATTGCTACACGGAACTTTTGCAACGTGGAATTTTGGAGAGATTAGTCGCACGGGAAAGAAGATAAGAGAGACGAAAACATATGTCGGTCAGTTAGTGCGAGAGAAAAAAAAAAGAGCAACGCGGTAATAAAAATGAGACCGCGCGCGCGCGCAAAGGAGGAAACTCCCGTTCTCCGCGGGGAATTCCCTTCGCGGGAATCCCCTCTGACACGGCAGATATTTCTCGGAGTGGAAGCGCAAACGCATTTTCCGCGTGAATGAATTACAGAGATTACGGAATAATCGAGCTAGACTATATTTCTCGACCGCGTTATCACGCGGAAGATATCGCGCTGCATTTGTTATTTTGTTCGCGTTGCCGCGTGTGTGAGATAAAATTTCGCGGCGCATCAATTTCAACGACATTTCAACACATTTTATCAAGAAAACTCCGGTTTTGTGCGAGGGGGGGGTAAAAGATCGATTTGAATTCGAGTGGAATTTACGTAACGATATTCCCGTCGTGTAACGCGCGCAAATTGACGTGTGTATGTTCTCTTGTTGCGCCGCTTATTTATCAACGCGTTTAAATGATGATAATAACATCTTGACACGTACGTCATGTATTCGCGAAAGAGAGACGAAACCGAACGAAACAACTCGTAACAACTCTGACGGTAAATTTGACGCGTACGAATATAGCGAGCGCTGAAATGCTTCTGTTATTAGTTCGATTATTCAGACAGAAATTTCTATTTATAATATGCGATAAATGTATGCCGGGAACGGAGCACGGGCATTTATTTAAAAAAAAAAAAACCCCCGAGATAGTATTTAATCCTGTTTCGCGAATTTTCGCGATCTCGTCGGGTTTTGTGAGCGCGAGATGGATTAATTTAGCGAGCTAACGTAGTTAGGGATCCTTTCTTCGGCCCCGGACAATACGGAGAGCGGAAAGTTTAACGAAGCGATAGCTCCGTGTAATTAGCCCCGTGCTGCACGGCGTTTAGACATTAACAAACGCAATTAGATATTTTGCTCCTTGACATCAATTACAAAAGACCTTCGACATCCTGAAACGTTTGTTACTTTCGCGAGAGCGTATCCGCTCTTAACGTTTTTATTAAAGTCTCTAGTAAAAAAAAAAAAAACAGGTAGTAGTTTTTATCGCAAATAAATTATATATATGTTTACATTTATGTAATCGGTTGTAATTGGCAGTGTGATTAGAACGATTTTTTAATAACATTATCGATATCGACTGACGATCGATATCACTTCGCGCCGTTGCAAAAAATTTACGGATTATCGCGCTGCATAAATACGTTAATTGTGCACTGAAAAAAAAAAAAAAAAACAGTTTTGTTGAGATTAACCAAAATTTGGTAAATCGAACCAAATAAAGTGTTCTGGAAACCAAATTTTGGTTGAGATTACAAAACTTTTTTCAGTGTGCGATTGCTAAGTAATCTTATAATTATTTAAACAATTTTTTTTCTCGATTCCAAAAGATCTTTCAAATTTGTGTTACACGGTCATTCTCTCGTTCTTTGTTAACATTCTCACGCAAAAAAGAAATCTGACTTACGTTCGAGGTCTCTCTGCGACGAATTTTTGACACTTGACACCCGGGATGATTCCTGCTGACAGCGAGCGGCGGATCCACGTGCTGCGTCGAGTGTCCGCGAATCAGACGCGTCGATCTCGCGCTATAGTCGTCGAGCAGACGACTGGATATTCCGCGGCGAGAGATTGCCGTTCTATACGCGTTCGTGCCGCGCTTTATGTAACACCCCACTCTTGGTCGCGGAGCTCGCGGGTGTCGTTCGACCAATCGCGATCACGTCGAGATTCGCTCACCCTGGGTCGCGCAAACACCGAGAGAAGATCGATAGGAGATAGACGGCGATCGATAACAGCCGGTCATCTCGTTTAGCGACGGATGGGCGGGCGGATATGTGTTAATTTTTGCGCTGCAAGTGACAGGAAACGCGGTTTAGATTTGCTCGTCTCCGTGTATGATTGTTTTGTTTTATTTTTTACTCGACGCCGCATTCAGCCGCAAACACGCAACTGCGACAGTTTGGTAATTGAATGAGATTGAATTCGATTGAATTTCCTCTGGAATTTGTGGTATTTCAAGATACCGCGTATTGTTTCTCTTACTCTTATCGGAATAAATAAGATACGTTTATTTGTTTCCGAAAAAATCTTACGCGCGTTCGGAGAGACGCGTTTGTCGGTAAAATTGAGATGTGAATACAGGTTCTTATGGAGTTTTTAATAACTTTCGTCACAGAAATGTAAAACATTTTCTTTCAAATGATTTTTCTAAAGAAAGAAATTGTTAATGTGTCTGACTCGTTGTCTCGAGAGTTGCCAAAATAATAATGCGCTTTGTAACACACATTTTTAATCAACGCCTTTAACTCTCGGGCAATCACAAGACTACAAAGAAGACGATCGCGTAAAGGGGAGAACGTAATAGCTTCTTGAAGGCAAAATTGAGACGCTGTTCACAGCGACTTCATCTGGAATCTGATTACAAGGTGAAATCAAGGAAGCATTCAGGAACGGTAAATCGAATTATTCCGAATAATCGCGATTCTGATTTTGCGTGCGTTTCTGTCGCAACATCAGAAGAAACACCCGAGACACGAGAGACCTCGAGCGAGATCTGATCGCGATCTAGAAAGGAATTGCTGATACGAAAACAATCGTTCTTCTTGCACAATCGGAGCAGCGAATGAAGACTGTTTTTTTTTACGAAAATTGTACTTGAAATACAGTCTTTTCTTTTTTTTTTCAGTTATTTCCCAATGAATGTTTTAATTATTTCCAAATTACCATCGCGTGTTACGTAAGAATTATTCGCCAAAAAATGTAGATTCTATGCGTGCAAACGCATAGTTTAAACAATACGCGAATGTACATATTTAATTAAATATTCAAAACCTCTCACGCGCATATTTTATGCGCATTATTTACTTGAAACTAAGTCACAGCAAAATGTCGCTCAATGTATTGGATTAAACATACTCGATACTCTTGCAAAACAAATTAACAGATACTTAAGGTGACACTCATTGGGCTTAAAATGCCAATCATTGTGTTGCTAACTATATAGATTCTCGTTATTATCTCACATCTGTTTTAATAATAATAAGCGCACGTACTTGTACATAAATTGCATAAGTCATTAATGAATATGTAATTAAAGCATAAGTAGTTATCTGTCATGAATCTCAAGTGTTACGTGCTTATTTTTCAATCTTATCTTATCTGAGTTATAT